CGGAGCGCGGCGGCTGCGCCAGCCATGGGGGAGCCCGGGGTGCCCGGGGGCCGGGCCCGCCGGAGGAGGGTCGTGAGCCGCGACCGACGCTGCTGCCCCATCGCTGGTGCCGGGAGCCGCGCCGAGGCCAAGAACATGACGCGTGCTGCTGTTTGGTTCGGTGGATCTTCATTTCACAGTCAGTTTACACTTTGCACAGAACTCGGTAACAGGCAGAAGGCAGACTCACGTCATACATCGTCCAGAATACTGGCAAAGCTGTCACTTTAAGTGCTTGATAAGAAACTTGAAATAAAAACACATTTCTCCATTGACTTCCTTTAACAACTTCTGTCTACACAACAGTAATGTTCTATATATTGTAACTTTAGTACAAAAGGAGCTCTGAATGTCGATGGTGATGGATAGGATAATCACCCATTCTACAGGCAGGTAAAGGATTCAGGAGCCACCTTAAAAGCACACCTCAGGTCTATAGTAGCAAGATGGCTTTAGGGGGAAAAAATTACCAATAGAGCCATCTTAGCTATAAATGTGGGAAAGGGTGTATCCATCATATGATACACTGGGCTGGTGTACTTGAGTTGCTGTATCTAACAACATACGAGACTAAAATAGTTAACCTTCCTTCAGTAGTATGTTTCACTATTTAGTCCAGCTGATGAGATGCCCAGTTAACTGGGGAAGATGTTTCCCATTTTTGTATCACCCCAGGAGAAAAGAACCTCACAAATTATCTGAGACGCAGTTTCCAGCACTGATGGTAAAATTAAACCTCCCACCAACAAAGACTGAGGTGTGCCTGGATGTAAAAAACTGGATCTATGGTGTAAGTGAAAAAAGTCTAGTTGATGAGACAAAAGCAGTGCATTTTCAGTCTGAATTAGTATTTGTAGTCCAGGTTCTCTTCCTGGCATAATCACAGGTTGCCTTTGCAGAGGTAGAGAAGTCATCGTGCCATGGGAATGGTGCTCAGTCACATCCCTTAAGACATTCATGGTCCATCCTGCTGAGGTTGCCAGAGATCTTTTAAGTTTTATGAAAATAATTTTCAAAATTAAAAAAAGCTGTTTTAAGAAAGCTGGAAACAGTAAGCAGGACATGGAATACCAGTTTTGGCACAGAGCCATCGTCTCCAGTGTAAGACAGCAAAAAGGAGATGAGCGTGGAAGATACATCTGGTGTCACGATGCTTTCATAACTACTTCTGCTCCTTCGTGAATCATCGGTACAAACAACAGACATGCACCCCTGCCTCCCCCAAAAACATGCACCTTTAATTTACAGGCCTGTCAGTAAAGAAGGGTGAAGGATGTGGGATGGACGTATATAAAGGACACTGAACACAAAATGATTTACAAGAGAGCAAGAGCTATGTATCCTAAAAATCTAGATTGTAGATTTAATTTGGAAGAAATGGACAAATCCTTCAGACATCTTCCCTTCAGTCTGGCATTAATCTATATTATCTCTTGAAAAAAACCTGGCTCATAAGATCCTATGTAAAGTTGTGTGGATGAAGGAACTGCAAAGAGCATTACTGCCTTTGTGAGCAGAAAGAATTCAAGCATCAGATCTGTTTCCTAGAAGGAGGCTTGACCTGCATGTGTTTGCCAAAACAATTATCTCCCAGATCCAGAAGCTCACGCAGGCAAAAGTTAAAATTGCTAGTTGTGCTATACTGTTAAGCACATAGCATCATTCTCAGCTGAAGCTCACAGTTATTTGTATCCACTTTAAAATCAGACTGGTCTCTATTGGAGAGCCAGGATGTGATCTGTCATTAAGCTGATTTAATGGGGGAAGCTGTCACTGAAAGGGGAGGCTGGTACAAGGGATGCTCCTCCCCAGATCCTTCCAGGCTCCCCTGCAGCAGATCTGGTGGATTTCTAACTGCAGTAAGCCAGTTCAGAGGATTTCTCTGCTGAAACAGAGAAGATCAAATCCCTCCTAGTTACCTGTTTTCTACCTGGCAGCTCCTTGCCCCAGCAGAGGGCAGGGCCCTGCTGTGCACCACTGCCAGAGCCACGGCAGAGCAAGGAAAGCTGCGAAGAGTGCAGCAGGAAGGCACAAGGAAAGGACTGCCCCACTTGCCCAGCTAAATGACAGGGTTAATGCCATCAAAATGCAGCTTTCTCGAGCTGCTCTATGCCATACACGTGTGGCACGTCCACAGGAACGTAACTGTGGCAAGAAAGGCTAAATGGGCAAAGCTTGGATTTTAGGATTTAGCACAAGTACTTACGCTGAAGCATCTTCTGGGTTCTAAATCAGATTCTGTCAGATCAACACTGAGGATTTTTCAAAACAGAACCACGCAAGACAATATATTGTCTTGGGGCCTATATCGTGACTGTAATCTGGCCCAATGACTGCGAGAGGGTCTGAATTTTTCAAAGCATAAAAATAAAACCTTATTGAGTCAGACCAGCTTTTGTCTAGTCTCTCCAGCAGCTGACTTAGTGCCTATTATCATTTAAAACCATACAATCTGCAAACCCTCAGTCAGAGATTGTAAGAACTTTCAAAATTAAATCTTGCACAGAAAGAGCTAAGCATGAATCACAGTTTTAGTGGGATCTGACTGCATCCTCTCTCCTCAAGAAAATTACACATTTATGTAAAACACCATAGGGGCTGAAGAACTCCAATTTTAAGCAGGTTCTAACCAGAACTGGCTATACTGGGGAATATCAGAGCAAGAGGAAAGGGAACAAAAAGACTCAGGAGCTCCCAGTGTCACCGCTTGTGCTGAAGGTGGGTCTGTGAAGAGGAAGATCTCACAGCACCTCAGGCAGCCCCCAAGTGAAGTGAAAAGCTAGAATATTTTTCTCCTAAAGTCTAAAGATGCTTGTGATCTCTGTCTACCTGAAGGATGTATAGTCCTAACTGACTTCTCCAGTTTCCACTGAATAAGAAGGGTAGTTGTGGTGGGTCTTCCATTGATAAGTGTGGAAATATCAAAGTCTCATTCTTGAACAAGACACCACATTTTGTAATTGTGGCTCTGACTGTACCAGGGATTATAACAAAAACATGACAGTCATTGCAGGTAAAATTGTTTGCTCGCTGCTCTACTGTTCGGCAGAGGATTTCTTGTTCACACCCAGCCATATCAATGACTTCTATATGTGTGTCTCTCTTCTTGATATTAAGCAGAGACCTAGGAGGCATATAGGTGTGAGCAAAGAGCAGGGAATAGTGTGTTGGATGGCTTGAAGACTCCGGAGAATGCACAAGTTGCTCCAAGTGAAACAGACATGGGATGAGTCCTCCTTGGTGTAAGCACCCGAACAGCAAAGCCCCAACAACATTGAACACAATGATAACATGTTTCCACTTCACAGCTCTGTTCTGTGACGTGCAGAACAGGACTAATGGCAGGATAAGAGGAATGAGAAACCGAGGTTCTTGGTGACTGAATAGGGAGAGAATTGCCAAAGGAACAAAATAAAACAGCAGTAACATTGGATTGCCCTTGGAATGCACTAATAGCCCAGATGACCCATGGCGATTTGATCTGACCCGTATCAGGTGATGGATATATTCCTTTAACATTTTAAACCCAGCACAGATGGCCAGGATATGTAAGATCCCAAACAGCATTATTCCGTTGACTGCAAAATGAGTCACTCGTGGGTGACTTCCATGCAGTGCAAGATTATGAGGATTAAGATTATACCTGAGAAAATTTAAAGGGGTTACTATAATTTTCTCATTTAATTGACCTACTACATCAAATACGCTGCTCTCTTTGATGCTGTAGATGTTGTCTAGGCCCATGGAGGTAAAATAGAAGGTGTCAGCTGTTATGAAAATAATGGCAGTAAAACATGAACATAGAACAAGCTTCAAGAAGTGGTTTATGACAGTTTTAATGCTCTTGTGACAGTCAACAATTAAACCTACCCAGTAAAGCAGGGGCATTAGAGCAAATGCCAAAAACGTTGGTCTGTTGAAAAACCCAGCAGTTGTTATAACACCTATGAGAGAGCTGCTTGTAGGCTCTGCTAAGCTGCCTCTATACCTTCTAGAGGAAACCAATACCATCAGAAGAGCAAAGAGAAGGCCTTCAAGTGTGTTGGTAAATGTTCTTGTATAAAATACCAGAGTAACATATGATCCAGCAAGAAGTACCAGAGCTTTCCATGGATCTGCTTCCCAAAAAGGAGCCAATCGATAAACACAATAGTCGAGAATGAAAGAGAAGATGGTAAAGAGAAGACGAGGTGACACAAGAAGGGTGTAGCTGTTGATGCAACTTGAACATAAGTCCAGCTGCTGCAAAGACTTGATCACCCAGTAGGTAACTCCAGATGTCATTAATGGGAAAACAACTGTTCTGCAAGGAGAGCTGGAAAGGAACTCCCAAGGATAATAGACACGTAGATTTAAAATGTCTCCTATGGAGAAAGAGGGGAAAAAAATACATACATAATATATTTTATTTGGCAACTCAGCATTAGGGATATAACTTAGTGCAAGAGGCATCACCATGTAGAGCCCTTAAACTTTTGAGGCTGGCGTCAACCTTGAAACCTTTGAGTACACCAGTCACCTTCACAAAGCTTAAAAAACCCAAACCAACCAACCAACCAACGAAAACAAACTAAACCAAAGCAAAGCAGTCTGTCACGGTGACACGGTTCCAGGACACACGGCAGGAGCAGCCGCCCAGAGCCTGCAAGGATCGCTCCAGCAACAAAGGAGCCCCCGCGGGCTGCTCAGCGCAGCGTGACCGCTCACGCCGCAGGACGCGGGGCCGAACGCGCCTGCACGTCGCGCAGCGCAGCCCCGCGGAAGGTGCTGCGGGCTGCCGGGGCACACGCACCCCCGGGCATCTCCCGCGCTGCGGCGGAACCGGAGCGCCGGGTCCGTCCCCGCC